GCGTACGGGCCGGGGGGGCGAGGGGGGCTGCACCCCCCAAATTTTGGGCAACTCAGATTTTTTGGGCAGCGAGAGAAAATTTGGGCAAAGTCAGTTTTTAAAGACGTCTCCATGTTTATTTAATTTAATTATTTTGAAGACCTGAATATTAACCTAAAGTCGGCGTAATAATCCAGTTACATTACAGTGGTTGCCTAGCATGTGATGAGTAATTTACATATTTGTAGTTTTTTTATTGTTGGGCACTCTACTGCACTGCACTAGCAGGAATGGGCTATTTCCAGTCGTGAATTTCTTAAAATAAACTTTCGCATAACTTTCTAGAATCATCTCCACTCGAAGAACAGTGTATGGCAGATAGCATCAGCAATGGGTATTGCCTGCATAGCAAGCGTTTCCGCGCAAGTTCGACTGAAAACGCTTCAATGGGTATGAAAATGAAGAAGTGGCTGACTACTGAATTCTCATTTTGAATTAGTATAGCGAGAAGAATCTTAATTCTTTTAAAAAATCTATCGAGCAGTTCCATGAAATTATTCGCTAATTTGTTAAAGTAGACCGAAATGTTTACAAAACTGCTAACAAGAGTGCCTTGATGACTAATCAAATCCTTCTTTCGATTCTAGCAATCAAGCAGAGCTATCTCCACGATCTATCAAACATGTTTTTAAAAAGATTAAAACTACTATGAGGTGAAAATGCATGTCAAAAGCGCTTCGTTTTGTACAGATAACGGCCAAACAACAAGATTTTCCTTTTCTTACCGTATTTCTAATAATAAAAACTTCATTCCAAAATATCTCCATAACGCTCTTAAGGTTTTGTTTAAACTTCACGAACATCAAGGCGACCGTATTGGAAAAAAATGCTCCTGTGAACGATTTTGTAAGGTTCCCCGTGCCGAGAGAATCATTGCTGAAGTAAAATAGGTAATGGGGTCATTTCGTTGCTATGACAGCTCCAATATCATTGCAACCCTGATGGTGACAAATTTTCATCTTAATACAACGGACGTCGCAAGTTTTCAAATGTTTGTTTATGGCGACGTAGTTTATGCTCAGACTTGGTATTCAGACCCTGAAAAACTGAATCGAGCCACCTTCATATGCCAGGACGGCCTATGTTGTTGCAATATGGCCCTCATTTCTTTTCGACTCTTTCGTAAAAATTTGGGCAACTTGCCGGTTTTTTTTGGGCAAATGGTTTACCGCCCCCCCCTGGCAAAAAATTTCCCGTACGCCTATCCTGGGCAGCCTCCAACTTTCACTCTTTCTGCGATCGCAAGGGACCAACTGTGGTGGTTGTCAAAAGTGGGAATTATATCTTTGGAGGCTACACAGAGCAACACTGGGAATGTAAGTGGCATAGCAGAACTCATAACTCTTTAAAATTAAAGCGACAGGGTTAAAATTTGTGACTGATTGGTTTGATATAGCAGGGCAGTCAGTAAGATAATTCAAATTGCTGGGTGTATGCATTTAGCAAGTGTCCTACCATCCCAATGTTGTCTAGTCTGAAATGTCACACATCTCCACCCCCTGAACCCATGGGGGCACAGGGGAGAGAGATGTCTGGATTCTGAGCATTATAGAGTTGTCTGGGGTGACATCACCTACTTTTGCAAATATGGCAGGTATTTTTTTTGACTGGCTATTGCATGTACCTTTCTGAAAAACCAACCCTTTTATTATTGGCTCAACAGGCTTAGGAAAACATCCGGTTTGCAATAGTGTTGACAGGCTAATCTGTAATGGCCTCTTCACCAAGTAAAGACTCAACCATAGTGGCATCTGATGAGGGACGCTTTAATTCCAAAACTGCAGTCTTGCTTTAGGCACTTGTAACAAAAAATGCACCACCAGTACAGTCAGATAGACTATTAAGCTAAAACAAAATTAATTGACAACAGAGGAACTGTAGGACATTGCACTCCAGTCTGAAGATTCACTTCTCTCAAGAAAAACAAAATGGATTGTATCAGTGCCAAAGAAATGATATTGACTGGCTCTCGATCAGCACAATTCTCCTTAGTTCGTGTTGCTTCAGTTTATCAAGCTACAATTCGGATGTTACCTTGAGAATTCAACATCCTGCCGGCAAACTACACTTAAGGTCACTTTAAAAGAGCTCGGTCTCGCGTCAAAACATAGCAGGAAATTATCACATTGACAGACAAAAAAAACTTCACACATGCAGCTTTTCAGGTACTTCAGAGAAAACCAAATTAATTAAAATCTTTTTGAAAGGTTATTTAGCTTAAGGTTTCAACAGAGGTCATAGAAAATCAGTACTAAACTATACATCTCAGATCAAATCCTGCCAGAAACAAACCACAGGAAATAATTACTCAATATGTATGAATCAGACCAGCTTCATGACCTCTAAATGCTTAGACTGTGATTTGATGGGCTCCTGCAGGTGTCAAAAAGGGGTATTGGCTGACCAGTGTCACCTGACTGTATCGTGGGCTAAAGTGCAACAACTCGTTGAGGTGATGTGTTTTAAAGCTATCCACTGACCAGTTTTTAGTTTTAATTGATCACAGGCTCAGGTCCATAATGATCGAAAAGGCCATAATTATAAGAGATAACTAATAAGTGTTATTAACTAATAAGTCTTATTAACCTCGTACGTTCGGTCCTTTACAGGAAAATCTCAGACCTCAGCCTTGATGTATTGACTTCAATTTTCTACAATTTTCCTATAAACAAACTTTGTATCGCTAAAATACTTAAGGCAAAAACTTTCTATTCCAACTGAAAACCGCGTGGTAGTCGCCCGCTGATCGTTATTAATCCACTCCCGAAATATGGCTAAATCAGCTATTAACAAATTATTGACAGAAATCCTCTACGGCATCGAGAAACTGATTTACATCCGATTTATAGACAAACAATAAATAAAGAACATTTTGCTCAATAGCTACGCATCAGGAATGCATTCTATGCCAAACTTTGCGGTTCTTAAAGGGGAATCAAGATACGAGTCGAGCGTCAAACAACAACAAGCAGCCATGTTCGTGTCAGACATCCTTGAGAAACTTGCTCTTTCACCTCGTTCAGCGCACCAGTCTCTACTTTAAATCAACAGAGGTTTGACAGTCTGTAACACAGAAATCCTAACAGCAAAGGAAACGGTCAGACAAAAAAATGACTTGATTCTTAAAAATATTTTTGTCATGTGTACTTTAACAATCGTACGGAAGACAGTTTGGAGTAAAGCAAAATCCCCCATAATCAAGATTCTAAAGTGAGAGGGCCAAGTGTCCACATAATAAAAGAGTATTATGGTCACTATGGTAGGAATAGTAAGAAGCTTTCAATCTTGTAGACTAAGAGAACTCTGTGTAGTAGATAATTATAGAGATTAAATTTTACTGGAGTTGACCCTTCACCTTGTGCATACCGATCGCTACTGTAGAGACCCTAATAATACGAAAAAAAGCTTAATCCCTAGCAAAAATCAATAAATTACTGATCCTCACTAACAGTAACTGGACGTAAAAAAATCGATCGATAAATCCTCGTAAACCATTCATCTCAGATCAAATTCTGCCAGAAACAAACCACAGGAAATAATTACTCAATATGTATGAATCAGACCAGCTTCATGACCTCTAAATGCTTAGACTCAGCCCGAGGCCTTGATGTATTGACAGAGCAATAGTGAAGTCAATACATCAAGGCTGAGGTCTGAGATTTTCCTGTAAATGACCGAACGTACGAGGTTAATAAGACTTATTAGTTAATAACACTTATTAGTTATCTCTTATAATTATGGCCTTTTCATCATGGACCTGAGCCTGTGATAGGCTCCTGACACCTGTCAATTGACCATAACATGGATGTCCATAAGCTAGGATGTCCACTATTAAGTTATGCCTTGGACACCTAGAATAGCTATGCCCAGTCATTACAAGAAAACAGCCAATAAGAGCATGCATACTATTAATAAAGAAGATCTTCAATATAATGAAACCTTGTTACGTCCAGTTACTGTTAGTGAGGATCAGTAATTTATTGATTTTTGCTAGGGATTAAGCTTTTTTTCGTATTATTAGGGTCTCTACAGTAGCGATCGGTATGCACAAGGTGAAGGGTCAACTCCAGTAAAATTTAATCTCTATAATTATCTACTACACAGAGTTCTCTTAGTCTACAAGATTGAAAGCTTCTTACTATTCCTACCATAGTGACCATAATACTCTTTTATTATGTGGACACTTGGCCCTCTCACTTTAGAATCTTGATTATGGGGGATTTTGCTTTACTCCAAACTGTCTTCCGTACGATTGTTAAAGTACACATGACAAAAATATTTTTAAGAATCAAGTCATTTTTTTGTCTGACCGTTTCCTTTGCTGTTAGGATTTCTGTGTTACAGACTGTCAAACCTCTGTTGATTTAAAGTAGAGACTGGTGCGCTGAACGAGGTGAAAGAGCAAGTTTCTCAAGGATGTCTGACACGAACATGGCTGCTTGTTGTTGTTTGACGCTCGACTCGTATCTTGATTCCCCTTTAAGAACCGCAAAGTTTGGCATAGAATGCATTCCTGATGCGTAGCTATTGAGCAAAATGTTCTTTATTTATTGTTTGTCTATAAATCGGATGTAAATCAGTTTCTCGATGCCGTAGAGGATTTCTGTCAATAATTTGTTAATAGCTGATTTAGCCATATTTCGGGAGTGGATTAATAACGATCAGCGGGCGACTACCACGCGGTTTTCAGTTGGAATAGAAAGTTTTTGCCTTAAGTATTTTAGCGATACAAAGTTTGTTTATAGGAAAATTGTAGAACTTCTTGTTTTTGCGTGGACTAACATTGTAACGCATCTTTTACAGGAATTTGCTTTTGGCCAGAACTTAAATGTTCTAATGATTTTTAACTTTTGGTCGGCATCACATGTTTACTGTACTTCTTGGGAAACCTACCCGTTTGTTTCATCGAAATCGGTCACAAGATTGGACTTAAATTTCGGTCCTATTGAATGCAGTTTTGA